GGCCATTAGTTTCATGAAATGTTAAGTACAAGGACTAGACTGGATAATCCAAAGATCATATTCAGAAAAATCAGTAATTCCAGCCCAAATGCCACAGGGCTTGGGAAACTTCATTGAAAGCAATTTGATGGCTACAGGCTGGCTATTCTGGCACATGCAGAGGCACAGCCCTTCCTGTCTCATGCCCTTGAATGTGGCAGACTGAGTACGCTTTATCAAGCCAGTTCTTCTTAGAGTTTTATTTTAATCCTTCACGAGAGTGGGCTTGTTGGGGGCATCTTGATGCTTGCTCCTGAGCAACAGGTGATTTTTCTTCCTTAGGTGGGTGCAGTCCTCAGACTGGTTTGTATTGATAAATGTTTACAAGCAAGCTGAGCTGCAGCCTGACCTCTAGGGAGGTGGATACCCTGCATGGGCAGCCTTCTTGCTGAAGTCTTTAGGGAAGAGGGTTGGAAGCTCAAGGCCTCTGAAGTTCAGATTCCATAATGAGTTGGTGAGTGTTAACTTCATTTTAAAAATTATCCAGAATTCTTTCTCTTTTATCATCGCATATTAATTGTACAAAATGAGTTGTTTTGACAGGTCCACACATGAATGCGATATATTTTTATTGTATTCACTATTGTGACTCTTTCTTAACCCTTACTCTTCTTTCTGTCTTTCCTGGCATACCCCATTGCGCGTTCATGTATTTTCCCTACTGGATTTCTCATCTTAAAGAAAGCATAGGATACAAGTCTTTGTGGGTCTTATTTCACTTAACACAGTGACCTCCAGTCCCACCCATTTTCATGCAAGCAACACATATTCAACCTTAGCTGTGACTGAGACTTTACTTAGTTCTGTTTTATGCATCTTTTCTTTATCCACATAACCTTTGATGGGTATCAGGTGGATTCCATAGCTTGTTTACTATGAATGATACCACGGTGAACATGGGTGTGCAGGCTTCTCCGTGATAATCTGACTTTGGTTCTTTTTGGTGTAACCCAGGAGCTGTGTGAATGGATCAGGTAGGAATTACGAGTTTTGTTTCTGAGGAACACCTGTTTCCATAGTTTCCTGGAATAATTTGCACTGCAATTTATTTATTAGGCAGCTGGGATGAATTAGGGTATCTTAACCCCACTCCACCCCCACTAGCGTTTGTGGTTTGTTTTTCTCATTGATGGTCATGCTGACAGATGAAGAGAATCTTAATACACTTTAATTTATATTTCCCTGAACACGGTGACTATGTTTTCATCTATTGATTGTTCGTTTATACTTCTCCTGAAAGTGTCTATTCAGTCCCATTACCCACTCACCATTCAGGTTTTTGTTCTCTGTTTTTGTAATTCTTTTCAGTGCTTTGTATATTCTAGATGTTAATCCTGATTCCCTGGATAGCTGATGAAGATTATTTTCCATTCCGTAGCTCCTTCTTTACCCTGTTGATTGTGTCCTAGTTATTAATCCTTGCTCATATTCCTTGAGTTATTGGAATCTTACTCAAAGCATCATTGCTCTCCTTATGGCCTGGGTCGCAGTTCTAGCATGTGTATGAATGCGCACACATACTGAAAATGAAAAAGGAAAAGAAAGTTTCAGAAGTATTTCTCAGTTGAATATTTTGGGTCACAAAAGTAGTGCAAATATTTTTGGTCTTCTTTCACAGTGGATTCCAGAGCTCCTGGGGAGGCCTGCATTCTATTGACCTAGCTGTGAGAGGCTGGTTGGAAAGGAGTGAGCCCATGTTGGACCCTGGTTTCTGCCCACTGCCCTGCAGTGATGAAGTAACATATGCTGTAGCTTCTTTTGACCTTGCATCACCAGGGATCAAGTTGTGCTACTTTGAAGGATTCAGGGGAAAATGCGCACAGAGTACTTAGCCAAGGGTGCAGGCTAAGGTGTGACATGGTGAGAGCGGACGGGCTGCAGTTGGCATGACATACCTGGGCGCTGGCAAGTTGTATGGCTTTCAGAAACTTCTCAGTCACCCAAACCCCAGTTTCCTTCTTTGCTAAGTAGGTGACAATGTGGATCTCATTAAGTGACTCTAAGGACGGAGGGTGTGTCAGCAGTGTTCTTTAAAGGAAGTGAATAACCTGGGAAATCCTGCTACCTCTATGTTTGCCCGGCTTTACACAGAAAGAGTATACCACAACCCACAGAGCTCAAGACTATGGGGAAGCCATGGGAAGGGTGTCTGGGAACACATGGTAGGTAGAAGTAAAGGAAAGTAGGCTTTAGCCTTCCTAGTGAGTTAGAAAGATGGCCTATCTCATCTTACTTTCGGAGTGCTAATGTTAGGGATTCTAATCAGAATGAATCCAGTATATCAGTTCAAATGTAACTCCACTGTTATTCATAACCAAAGACAATGACAGACACTTCAGTGGCCTGTGGAACACAGAGGCTGCCATGATGCTGTAGACTCCAGGCCCGGGCTGCAACAGAAGGCTGCAGATGCCTGGCGTGGTCCAGGTCACTGGAACTGAGCCGTCATGACTGTAGTCTTGTGCATCCCTGGCAGGGCCTCCTGGGATAATTTTGGAGTCATAGACCCTAAGGTGTTAGTTTAGTAATAGAATCCTACACTGTAGTGAAAAGAATGGTTTAAATTTGGGAATGAAAGTATTTTGGGCCTTATAAATTGCCACTGCTTCGTAGAACTCCAGTTCTTGGGAGATGGTGGAAAACATGGGAGGGAAAGTCTCAGAGAAAGTTCTGCAGAGAGAAAACCCCTAGAAAGGAAAGATTTCCCATTACAGGGGAGACATTGCTGGAGGACTCCATCTTCCTGTTTTCTCTCTTATTTATTTTCTTTCTCTGTGGCTATCACCTTTGTCAGTCAATCTTCTTGGACATGGTTGGGCTACTAGTGGTATTTGCCCCATAGACTTGAGGTACCCACTTTCTTTAGTACTTGTGATTTTGAGACTTAATTGTGAATGTAACACAGCCGTTGCTCACATCATGGCACCAATAATGAACAAAAGTGAAAGCACACTGAGTGAGTATCAGTGCATTCCATTGGAGAAAAGCACACTGAGTATCAGTGCATTTCATTGGAGAAAATGGCAGAGGTGTATACCCTTAATATACAAAGAGTTATTTCTGACTACAAGAAAAAAAGATGAACACCCCAGTTGAGACACAGTGGGCTCAGGACAGACATATGAAACTCATCTATGAAGACATACACAGAAGGAAGACAGGGTGAGGCACACTTGTGATGCTATCAAATGTAGGGGTCATAACCTATGCCCCAACCCAGATTGGGCCAGAGTTTTTTCTTCAGGAGATCCAGGGGCAGAGACTGGATTTTTACCCATACTGTTTTAGAGATTATTTTAAGACTATAAGAGACTATGGGCTGGAGAGATGACTCAGCCATTAATAGCTAGGCTCACAACCAAAAAGTATACGAATATAAGAGACATCCACATTTTCCCCCTAGGGGGTACCAAGTGGGTGAAGACTTCATGCTTTCATGATTACATAAATCATGGCAGATCTCAACACCCTTGTCTCTCTGTTCCAAATGATCTCACAGAACCCCAACAGCTCAAGGAAGCCCCAAACCTTTAGGGATTCCCCTAAACAGTTCAACAGCTCTCCACTTTTGCTTGAAGGAGCCTCCAAATTGACAGGCATGACATCACTGTTAGATATGGTTCTGTCTCTTTAAGACACTCCTCACTCTGGAAAGTTAAGCCAGGCTCCCTCCTTGAGCTGACAGGCCCTACACTGGTCACAGCAGGTAGGAAGCAAACCTAAGACAAGAATATCCAACCATGTCTCCCTGAAGCCTCTGGCTCAGCAATGTCAGAGCAGGGCTCCCTATCTCTGACGTCCTTGACTTTGAGTTGGCTCCCAGTGCCTTCTCCAGCTTTTGGATCCACTGCCCCGGTGAGGAGTTCCTCTGTTTTACAACAACACCCCAGTACTGTTCAGCAGAAGAACACCAGAAGACAAAATCAGTTACCAAATGACAGCTACCTCAGATGGTTCAAACTACCTTGAAACTGCTCAGAAGACAGGAAAGCAAAGCTGATCAGGGAGAGACTTCCCAGAGCTCAGATTTTCTCACGAATTCTAAACAAAGTCCAAATCCATTTTTCTGCCTCACCAAACACCAGGTAGAGCTAAAGAACAGATGATATATCTGATGTGCAAAGAGGAAACTATCCCTAAAACATAAGGTCTGGGGTGGAAGTACAGTGATGTCACGTGGTGGGGCTGTAATGACTAGTACTGATTGCCAATTCGTAAGAGGGTCAGCCAATGGATGGACGTCTAAGCTTGCCAGTGGGAGACTGTTCTGATTACATCAGTGGGGGGGAATGGTCTACCACGGTGGGTGGGACCAGTCCCTGAGTGGGGGATCCTAGACTGTGTGTGAGTGGAGAAAGTAAGCTGGTCTCTAGCATTCATTTGTTGCCTTTTGCTTCTTTATTGTGGATACAATGTGGCTAGCTGCCCACCAGAAGAAAAGAACTTAAACCTAACGGTGAGCTGAAATAAACCCTTCCCTCTTTGAGTTGCTTTCATCTCAAAATTTTGCCTTAGCAAGAGGAAAGAAGTTAAGATACAGCTTTGGGAAAGGGTTGCCTAATTCTCAGTGACTGTCATGGTCTCCAGTGAGCAGACCACTGTAAGTCTTTGCTTTTGTTTTAAAATAGGGTAGCCAGAGAAAAATATCATTGATCACCGATTGATAGTAAATGTGGCTTCCCGGATAGCACCCACATACTGCCAGAACTGCTGTGTAGCCACCTGTTGGGTAGAAGAGACATGTGTGGAACAAAATATTTTAAAATGCTGGCAGTGTTCCCTTTTTGGGATCCAACTTTATTATTCTGTTTTTATGTGAATATTATCTTTTTAATCAGCAGAGAAGAAAGCGAATGGCTTTTTTTTTGTCCTTGAGCAGCAGCCCTGTGCAGAGATCTACACGTAGATTCTGCTCATGTAAACTGACTCGAGGTCGTGTTCCAAGAACCCATCATCAGCGCTGTCTTCCTTCTCTCTCTTCCTTGTTTGTCACTCAGAAGTGTTTCTCCATTCCTGCCTCTGTGACTCATTCGAGAAGACATTAGAAGCTATGTTTTGCAACACCTTTCCATGAAATAGAGAGAACATCAGTGCCCGCTCCAGTAAGAGGTGTGTACTCACTATCCTTGCTTCATCGATAATGAAGAGGTTGTGTGGATTCCTGAGGCTCTACAGGGGTGGAATGAGTCAGAAAGAACTGGTCAGTCCTAGACATTCAGGTGCTATCAAAGACTAGCCCCAGGGCCAGTGACATCCGCAACCAAATAAACTTGAAACTTCATTTGCTTGTTTGGCTAGAAATTACAGCAGAAGGAGTCTTGCTCCATGACCTGAGCTGTCTCATCGGGTTGGAGACAGAGACACTGGTACAGTGTACAGCACTTTCTTTTTATAATGTTTTATGATGAAGGTTTACTTTTTAAAAAGTATTTGTTTTTATATATATGAGTATTTTGCCTGCATATGTATTTGCGCATCATGTACCTGGTGCCCTTGGAGGTTAGAGTAGGGTGTCTGATTTCCTGGGACTGGGGCACCAGGCAGTTGTGAAATGCTATGTGGTTGCTGGGAATGGAGCCGGGGTTCTCTAGAAGAGCAGCCAGTGCTCTCAACCAATGATCCCCCTCTCCAGTCCTGGTGCCCCATTTTTAATCGCTACTCCCCCACACACATTGTTAAAAGAATTACGAATATGTTGCTATATAATGACTCAGATCTCTTCTGAATCAGTCACTCTTGTCCATTCTGTTCTTTCTCAGAGACTTTGGGGAGGAGGTTGGGGACTCAGTTGGAGTTGGAGGATTCCAGGCTGCTTTGATCTGACTCTGCGTACAGCTTCACATTGTGCATGGGCATTTTGGGATCCTGTGTACAGAGCTGGAGAAAGCAAGAAAGGCCGAGAGCGGATGTGCTAGGAGGAGTCTCTGCAGGAAGGAGAGAGGCTTGAGGTGGAGTGGGGTGCAGGTGGTGGTGAGCAGGTGTGCCTGGAACATCTCAGAACACTTGTTTCCTTTGATGCCTCCTATCGTTCTCTTGTGTCTGGGAGTGAAACACTAGAATGGGAGGTCGGAAATCTGACTTTCGCCTTCTTAGAATGTTCTGGCAAGTTTGGTCTCAGCTTTCCTGCCTGAGGGGGATCTTCCCCAGCCCACGGCCCAATCAAGGGTGCTGTATCCATTGTACCCAGCTGAGGTCCAAACCATTGTGATGTTCCCAGAGTAAGTGGCTTCAGGGCTCCCTGAGCCAGCAATAGGGCTGACCCAAAGGTGCAGCCTCCCAGGGAGGGGCCATCTGTCTCTCAGCAGGGGACGTCTGGAGCGGGTGGGTTCTTAACTTTTTTTAGCAGGCGGGCCACTTTGGAATCCGATAAACACAGGAAGCTTGCCTCTATATGACAATTGCCAGCCCCCTTTTGTTTTTAACAGGCGAAGAAACAAATGCCTTGTATGAAGCCCAGAGGGTCCTAAAAATTATAGTTCAAACACAGAAAGGAGCCCTCTAGGAGACCTTCCTTTGCCTGTTTGCTTTAGGCTTCCCAGATTTGGCCTGTTCATTCTTTCTGATAAACACCTTACAGTTTCTCCTCCTTCCTGGAGCTGTTTATAATTACCAGTGTCTGACACTTGATTGCATGGAGTGTCAAAGCCCCTCTGCCACTCACTCACCCGTAGCCCCCTGCTGGGCTGTCTAGCCTGAGAAGTTCCACAGTAGTCAATGGGCTGGTTTTTCCTCCTAGCACCATGTCTCTGGATTCTTCTTGAGCTTTCTGCTGTTTCTTTTACCATGTCTTGTACCTGTATCTGTCAAATAAAGATACTAATACGTCCCCATGGGATGGCTTGTGTGTTCAGAAGTAGACACTTACTTCTATTATTAAGTGCTTGTTTTATTCTGAAAGTCTGTCCATGATTTAATCCACATGTAGGGTGAGGGTCTATTCCTTCTTTTCAGTTTCTAGAACAGATGGTTAACTGTGGCTGCTGTGCTTTCTTACTCCTCAGTTGTGATCAGATCAGATTCAGAATCCTGGGAAACCACATTGGCTTCATCTGAGCATCCCGCAGGTGCTCTCTCAGTCTTGCCCGAGTGTCCAGACGTGAGCATCCCATGCCCATTTCTACCATGAGAGTAGTCAGCCAGCAATTGGCTAGACCGGATGTGCTGGCTCCTTAAACAAGATAATTGAAATTTGCCTCTTTCTGCTAAGTTATTGCACTGCTTTGACATCTAGCAAAAACAAAGTCTGATAGAAACTTAAATTTTTTACACGGATTTCAGCGAGCACTCGTCTTAGGTCTGGGTTACTTCAGTGTGACGTCACATGGTCCACTTATGGCCTTGCTCTGTGTTATAAGGAGTGGAAAGAATGACTATTTCCACAGTGATTGCTGTCATTCATAAATTTACATCCAAGCATTTATAATTTAGTCCATGGCAAGACAAGTGTGTTTTATAACATCATGGGAAATCTCCTGTGGCTCTTGCCCAGGAACCTGAGAGCAGAGCCCCTTTGTGGGTAAATTCCTTGTTGTCTGAGAGCCCAGGCATTTTGGTGTTTAGACTAGCTGGCTCAGACCAAAGACGTTTTGCAAACTCTCAGCTCCCAGTGTTCAGAAAGTAGAAGCCACTGGAAACAAAGATCTACGGAAAGATAGCTTAGCATGGTCTCCGAGGGCCAGCTTCAGAGTGGTGTGAGTTGTACCTCAGAGGCCAAAGAGGGCTTTGTTCAGCCCGTGTCTTCCCAGAGGACCCCGTTCTTCTGATCTGTGTCAGAAATAGCAGAAAGGGAGAAAATAACCCTAACAAATGCAGTCAGTCATTAATGAAAGCAATATCGTTCTCAGGACCTTGTCATTGGGGGAAGAGTGTGGATGTTTCTATTGCCTCAGTGAAGAGAAGATGCCCTGGTTGGTGAAGTTCTGGGTTCTGTGTGGGCTGGAAGATAGATGGAGTTTTCGTCAGTATTTAATGGGGCAGAACAAAAGCCAGAAATAGGCCCTGAGAAACCAGAACAGAATGATGCAGATCGGATGGCTTGCTTATTCAGCTGCAAAATGTACGGCCTTCTATTGTGGTCACCCCCCACCCAGGGTGAAATGTGGTGTGGAGGACAGACAGGAATGCCCCATGGTGCAGAGCAGCCTCTGTTGTCCCACTAATCAGTGCTATTCGGCACATGACAAATATTTAATTTAGGGGGAAAGCAGTGGACCACATTGTTGTTACCGATATCAGGCAGCAACAAGATTAGCAATAATCCCCACTAGTAATGGCCAGAAGGCCCAAATTAACAATGAACCCAACCCCAATATGTTTGCTGTTTCCCCACAAGGTGAAAGGAGACAACCCAGGTTGGATATGGCTGCTCCTCTAAGCCAGAAAGATCTAGACTCCTGCTTTCTGGTCTTCTATTTCCCACATCCTAATCCACTGTGGATGCTTGAGCGACAGCCGTTGTATCTACATTTCAGGCAGCAGGAGGAGAGAATGGACAAGAAAGTGGCGTCTCTCTCTGTACAAAGTATTTCCCAGGGTGTGTAGTCACCAGTCCTCTGTTTATCTTCAGTGCAGGTTGGGCAACTGCTCTTAAGGTTACTGTTCTTGTTTGCATATCTGTTTCGTCACTCCTCTGTGTATCTACTCATTCATCTGTCAGTTCATTCAACTAGCTTTGAGTAGACTTTCTTCCTCAGGCAAGCTGTAAGAGGTACAAGTCAGGTGTCTCTAGTGCCTTGGTGTGGATTGCTTCAACCAAATATCGTACACAGTGGCATATCAACACAAGACGTACCTTTCCCACAGCCCTGAGGCTGGTTATGGTAGGTCTGTGCCCAGTATGGTGAGGGCCTGCTTCCCAATACACAAAGTGGAAGGAGAGCAGGAGAGCTCACCAGAGTCCTTATAAGGCTCAGCCAGAAAGGCTCATCCCTATGGTCATCTCCTCCCAAAGTAGCTTCTCCCAACACCACCACACCGAAGGCTAGCTTTTTAGTACATGGATACTAGGGAAAGGCAGACATCTGGACCAGAGCCACCTCCTTGGGAAACCACTTCTGTTTGAGAGTCAGCACCTCTCCTGTGTGCCTTCAATGACTATATGTGCTTATATCATACTGTCAGACAGCCATTGGTCCTTCCTACAAAACAGTGACATCTTTAGGGAGGAACCAGAATGCACTGTGTCTGTGTGCAAATGTGTATTTAGTTGTTCACAAATACATGCCCCTGCATGTGCACACACACACATACACACATTCACACACACACACACACACACACACACACTCACACACACACACACACACACACACACAAGATATGTGGATGACAGGTTATTCAATGAACAAATGGAATCAGTCTATTCAAAGAAGCTTAGCAAAGTTCCCTACAGTGATTCCTTTTTCATTTTTAGGACCCAAAGTACAGAATCATTAGAAACAGTCTTAAAGGAACAACCTGTTATCTGGTTGCCAGAAGCAACAGGCCAGAGATCCTGAGGCCACTCAGAGCTATACTTAGCCTATCTGTTGGTGTGCTAGTGAGGGTTAGGTTTCCCTGGGGTGGCAAAAGGGTTAAAAGTAATATCTATCTTGTGTTGAGAACAATTCTCTAATGGTTAAAGTTGGTAAGCCTCATGTTTCTGGACACAGAATGAGAGCAGATATGTCCAAGAGTGACTAGTGTATGCTGGCCTTTGTGTTCAGAGTCTAGCGTGAGGGATCAAGAGAAGAGAAACATCAGTTAATCCTTGAAGATAGGAACTGATGGGCATGAGTGCATGTAGCTTCTGTGAAGCATGTCATCAGTGTGAGATGTGAGCATCCCAACAGGAACAGCCTGACATAGGGACCGGACACTTGGCTAGGACATGCTGTTACTCCTAACTGGATTCAGTAGGCGGAGTCAGTTCTGAGCCTGGATGCTGGGCTCTCCTTTGGGTTATTGATCTTATTAGATTATATAATTGGTTCCAGAAAATAAGAACCAGTGTGTAATAATAGGAGCGTGAAGCAGAGGGTCTTAGCCATCACGGAAGGGGACTTTTGAATTATACTTTGAAGCATTTCGAGGAAGTTTTTGAGACCTGTGTCAAAGTATAGAAGTTATGGACAGAAGCACTGGGGTGAGTTTTCTGGAAGTCTGGGACTGATGCTGGTAATCAATCATGGTGATCCAGAAGTTGGGCTCAAACAGGAGGGTCAGAGTTCAAGTGTCAGTTCTGTCGCTTAGAACCCTAGGGGTATCCATGTGTCCTTTGGGAAGCTTCAGTTTATTAATCTGAATAGTGATGTAGTATTAGGAGGTACCCCAGAAGACAGCTCTGAGGGCGAAGTAAGCTGTAGGACAGGCTACCCAGTGGGTCCACAGGTGGGGCGTGGTCACATATCATCTGAGATGTTTGAGCAGGGACAAGGTAAGCTATTGAGACCACTGTGCATGGGCTGTGTTTAGTTTGAAAGGACACACACAGACACAGACAGACAGACAGACAGACAGACAGACACACACACACACACACACACACACAGAGAGAGAAAGAGAGAGAGAGAGAGACCACATGCCACATTTCCTTTTTCCTAAATGTTGGTAAATTGTTATCTACATTTATATATTGCAAGGACCTGGAGGGTATTTGATAGCTCAGTGTAAGCTTTTACAGTTTGAATTGTAAAGTGGTTTGGTTACATTTTTTCTTTCACTGTGGCAACTCAGAGTGGGAGGGAGGGTCCTGAGGTCCAGTTCCAAGCCCTCTCCCTTTATTCCCCCACCAACCCACAGCAAGCCACCTACCTTGGGGCCCCTCCTGTGTAAGGAAGTCTTTGGTCTTTGGGTGGTGATGATTCCAGGTCACTTCTAGTGCCAGAACTGGAGTCTCTCCCTTGCTGCTGGTGAACCTAACATTTTTGGCACAAGGGAGGTTTTGGCGATTGTACAGCTTAGTTCTCAGAATAGTTTCCACGAGCAGAGAGAAAGCAAGTTATTTTTAGTTGCTTTTTAGGCATGACTAAATACTGACCACTGCTTGCAGGTACGTTTGGTGATGGAATCAACCATGTGTGCAGACTACACATCAAACCTACAAAAAGGACCACAATCAGCATGTCATACTTTTCCAACATTGCATGGCTGGAGGCCCAGGTCAAGTTGGAGACCAAAGGGTTCTAAGTGTTCACCCAGGGCTCCAGTGACTTCCAGGAGAAAATTGTCACATAAATGCCATCGAAATGTTTCAAAGACAGCCATGTTGAAGAAACCGTATGGGTGTAGCTTCTGACATTCCTAGGAGTTGCAATCCCATAGCAAACTCCCCATTCCTCTGGCTGTTACAATCTCTCTGTCCCTCCTCTGCGATAACCCATGAACCTTAGGTACAGGAGTTGTGTTGTAGATGTTTTGGTTGGGACTGGGCTCCACAACTCTGCATTTTGATTGGTTGTGGTTTTTAAAAGAATGACCCCTGCCTATTGTAAAGGATAATTTTCTTGTTGAAGGGTGAGGACCACACTTATCTGTGGGTGTAAGGACTACACACACACACACACACACACACACACGCACACACACACTTGATGGTTTGAATGAGAATGGCCCCCATTGAATGGTCCATAGAACTATTTCTGAAAGATTAATAGTTGTGGCCTTGTTGGAGGATGTGTGTCATTGGGGTGGGCTTTGAGTTTTCAAAAACTCATGCCAGGCCCAGGGTCTCCTTTTCCACCTGCCGCCTGTGGATCAGGATGTGAAGCTCTCAGCTACTGCCCCAGCGCCATGTCTGTATGCTTTGTACTAACCCTCTAAAATTGTAAGCAGTGCTTTTTCCTACAAGAATTTCCTTGGTCCTGGTGTCTCTTGGCTACAGTAGAACAGTGACTAAGACATGCATAGGAAAAATCAAGGGAAAGAAAAAGAGGTTATGAATTTGAAAGAGAGCAAGGGAAGGTAGATGGGAGGCTTTAGAAGGAGAAAAGGGAGAGGGGAATTGATGTAATTTACTATAATCTCAAAAAATAAAAAAAAACATTTTGAAGAATTGTTGTCAGAGGCTGCTTGTTTGTTCCTGGTTGCTCAGCCCCGAAATAACCACATAGAAACCATACTATTTGCAATACTCTTTGGCCAATAGCTTAAGCGTATTTCTGGCTTTTTAAATTTTAAATTAACCCATCTCCATTAATCTGTGTATTGCCTCGTGGCTGTGACTTACTGGCAAGGTTCCAGCTGGCAGCTCCATGGGTCTCTTTGACTCCACCTTCTTTCTCCCAGCATTCAGTTTAGTTTCCCCTGCCTAGTTCTATTCTGCTAAGCCACTGGCCAGAACAGCTTCTTTATTCATTAACCAACAAAAGCAACACATATACAGAAGGACTTCCCACACCAAAAAGTCATTTGGAAGCATTCAGAAGTAGCAATTATACACAAGTTCCTTGACCAGGGCTATCTTTTTGTGTAAGTCCATTGTGAGATACAACTCTCTTAAGTAAAATATTTATTTAAGGTGCTAAGTTATCAGGGACATGGACAGGTACCTGCTTCCCTTAGTGATCTTGGGGCTCATGGGAGTTGTGGTTCAATGGCCAGTATTGAGAGAAGTTGTACCATGTACCAGTTTCCTGGGGGAAAGATGTAAATTCAAAACCTAAAGTGTCATTTCTATTGAATGGGAATTGCTTTGAAATCATTAGGTCTCTGTGATCTGGGGACATCTGTGCACATTGTAAGTCCTGAGGACTCTGACTTATAATGCATATCTTCACTGTCTTCTAGGACTCCAGTCCCTTGCTATTGGGGAAAACCTGAGAATTCTTTTGTACAGCCAACATGAAGAAGCCCTGGGTTAAACCATCCTGGCACCATGTCCCTCTGTCATCTACAGAGTGAGTTAAATGAGTCCTGACTATGTCCCTACTTGTTTCTACATGTCTTGAGTCTACTGTTTCTGAATCTTCTATGCAATGGAACCTCACTTGGGAGAGTTTCTCAGGGGAATCCCCTTAGTGGCTGGCTAGGTCCTCTGCATTCCCTCGTGTGATTTTAGATATTTTCTTCAAGTTCTGTGAAGACAATTCCAAGAATTTTTACTAGTTTTGTACTGAATTTGTAGATTGCTTTAGGTAGCATGGCTATTTGGACATTACTAATTAGCCCAGTCCTCATACATGGGAGATTGTTGCAACTTCTAGTGTCTTTTCCAGCTTCTCTTTTCAGTATTTTGAACTGTGGATTAAAGGTAGTAGAATTCTTATTAATATGAGATAGTAATCTTACATTTTTAAATGAGAAAATTATTTTGACACACACTGACAACCATTTGAGATTATGTATGTTTTCAGGAGACCTTTTTCTAATAAACCGTTCTTAAGCCCAAGCCCCCAGAGTTGTCTGAGGTGTCGAAGCTCACTATGAACAATTTTGTCTCCTTTTGTGTTCTGCAGCATGCTCTTGCACATGGCACTCCCAATAGCTGAAGACAAGAGGATACACGTGTTTGAATGAACACAAGTTTTCTATCTTCCTGTAGGTGTCGAGGAAGACTGATTCATGCTTATGGGAGACACAATGGAACATATGATTCAGCGTGCATCATGGTCTCTTTCATTTTGTTATACAGAGTTACACAACAGAAGTTCTCATACAAGTAGTTAATAAACTTTGAAGTATTTTAAATGATATTTAATTTGTTTATTTGTGGTGTGTGTGTGTGTGTGTGTGTGTGTGTGTGTGTAGATTTCATGTGACAAGGCATTCATGTAGAAGTCAGAGGATGATTTGTAGGAATCGATTCTGTCTTTTTACCACGTGGGCCCCAAGGATCAAACTCAGGTCATCTCAGGCTTAGCAGCAAGTGCCTCTGCCCTCTTATCTTGCTGGCCTCTATACTGTACTTTGAGCATATTGCCCTCATAGCCTGCTATCTCTCCTTTCTTGTGCCTCTTTCCTCCCGTTAGTCCCCTTTGTTCTGCTAGATAATTTTGCTTATACTTTTATGCCATATGTACATACACAATTTTATATACCTATAAAGTCCAGGAATGAGAAAAAAAATCTTACAATATTGTCTTTCTGAGACCACCTTAATTTACTTAATTTGACTATATTCAGTTGCATTATTTTTTCAGAAAATGACACAACTTCGTCCTTTTTATGGCAGAAAAATTTCATTGTTATATAAACTGCATTTTTTTGTCTGTCTGTAGATGGGTATTTAGATTGGTTCTGTAGCTTAGCGGTTGTGAACAGTGCTGGGATAAATGTCAGTGTCTATGATAGGTTGATTTGGAGTCTTTGCACTAAATACCCGGGAATGGTACAGTTAAGTCATATGGAAGGTCTATTTTTAATTTTAGAGTTATTCTGTAGGTCTTCTATTCTGTTTCACTGATCCATGTGTCTGTCCCTGTGACAGTACCATGCTGTTTTTAGTCCCATGACTCTGTAGCACAACTTTCAATCATGATAATGATCCCTCCACAATGTTCTTTTTGCTATAGTTTGCTTTGGCTAGCTGGGTTTTTTTTGTGCTTCTACATGAGTTTTACAATTTTTGGGTGAGTTTTTTTTTTTTTATAAAGAATGACATTGGGATTTTGATAATGAGTGCATTGAAACCATTAAATGCTTTTGCTAGTGTAGCCATTTTCACAATATTAATTCTAATTCATTAGCTCAGGAGGTCCTTTCATTATCTATTATAATACCTTCATTTTCTTGCTTCAGTGTTCTTAAGTGTTTTATCATAGAGATCTATCTTTGACTTCCTTGGATACCTCTATTCTTAGATATTTTTTAAATTGTCAGTGGGATTGTTTTTCTTATTTCTTTTTCAATGTCTTTTTTAAATCAGTATAAAGACTACCAATTTTGTGTTAATTTTGTGTTCTTTTACATTGTTGGATCTGTTTATCAGATCTAAGCATTTTCTGGAAGAGTCTTTAGGGTTCTGTTTTAAAGTTTCTATTGTTGTGAAGAGACACCATAACCATGCTGACTCTTATAAAGGAAAAAGTTTAATTGGGTTGGCTTACAGTTTCAGAGGCTTATAGTTCATTATCTTCACAGTGGGACATGGCAGCATGCAGGCAGATATGGTGTTGGTGAAGGAGCTGAGAGTTCTTTATCTTGATCCTACAGACAACAGGTCATGAACTGAGTGTGCCACACTGGGTGCAGCTTGAGCAAAGAGATCTCAAAGCTCATCCCCACAGTGGCACCCTTCCTCCAACAAGGCCACACCCACTCCAACAAAGCCACACCTCCACTAGTGCCACTCCTTTTGGGGGCCATTTTCTTTCAATCATCATAATCTCTTACATATAAGACCCCATCATCTACAAATAGATACTTTCCTATTTGTATCTCTTCTCTTTTCTTCTCCAGTCTTACTGCTTTTGCTAAGACTTCAAGCTCTGCATTGAAGAAGGGTGTGGAGAGTAGTGTGTTTCTGAGTTTAATGGAAATGCATGAGTTCCCCCCCACACACTTAGTAGAATGTTGGCTGTAGCTTTATTGTACAAATTCTTTATTATGCTAGATATATGACTTCTATTAAGTTCAGTGCTCTTATGATGAAAGGTTATCAAATTTTATGAAAAGCTTTTTCTGCATCTCTTGAGACAATTGTGTGATTTCTTTCTTTGAGTTCATTTATGTATTAATCTTTCAGGTTCAGTAACCCCCACATCTCTGTAATGAGGCTGAATTGATCATGGAGAGTGATTTTTTTATATGTCTTTGAATTCCGGTTGCAAGTATTTTGTTGAGAGTTTTTTCATCTGTGTTTATCAGAGAAATTTTCTTTTGCCATGTCTTCCCCTGGTTTTGTCCTCAGAGTAATACTGACATTGTTGGATACATTGCTTAAATCTTTAGCCTAAAGTTCTCACCTTCCTCTACCCTCATGATTCATGCATAAGCGGTGCTTATTCCATTGCTGATGTCTATCTTGTCTACTGATTCATGATGCCAAATGGAGCTCATTTGTTCTGGTCAGTTTTTAATTTATTTTTATATTTCCAGTTTCCGAATGTTTTATTTAATCTACCTTGTCTTTCATCTACCTGATAGTCTGTTTTCCACTTGATTGATTTACTGGTGAGGTTCATATTTTCTTATTATTTTTATTTTTGTCAGTGTTTAAATTTTTTATTTTATTTTATGGTGTCATTTCTGAGGTAAAATATATAAATAAAACAAAATAAAATAGAAAATAATAATAATAATATAGTGGAAAAGTCCCTTATGAAACAAGAAACCTCCAAAGATTCCACTAAGTTCATTTTCTATTGTCTATCTACTGCTGGATATGCATCCTGTTTTAAAGAGTAGTTTGTTTCTTCACTGAGACTCTCATGGAGGAAACTAAATTTTCATTTGCAAGTGGCAACAATTGGAAATTGCTTCTTGGCAGGAATAAGGGCTTATGTCTACTTCTCTTTTCAGCTCTAGAACTCCATCTGGTGCAGACCCATGTAGGCCCTGTGCGTGCTGCCTCAGTCTCTGAGTTCATATATGCACTGATCATGTTGACATCGAGAGCCTTGTCTTGGTGTCCTCCATCTTCTCAGGATCTTTCATTCTTTCCACCTCCTCTTCCTGTTTTTTTTTTCTGAGCCCTGAGGGTAGGGATTTCATAATGACATCTCATTTAAGGCTAATTCTTCCAACATCTTCCACTCTCTGCATGTTGTTGTCTGGCTGTGGGTGTCTGTATTTCTTTCCTCTTGCTACAGGAGGAAGCATCTCTGATGATGGCTGAGCAAGCCAGTGATCTACAATACAGCAGTATGTAGTTAACAATCATTTGATTGCTAGGGTTTTTTTTTTTGATTTGGGGACAAGTAGTATTTGATTTTCCTCTATGTTCCCTGAGTTATCTAGTCTCAAGTTCTAAGTCAGCTAAACAGTGTCAGGTATGGGTTTCTTCTCATGGAGTCAGCCTTCAGTCAAATCATATGTTGGTTGGTTACTTCCACAAACTTTTTGCCACTAATGCCCTAGAATATCTTACAGGCAGGACATCATTGTGCATCAAAGGGTTTGTGTTTGGAAATACACAGAATACCTTCCTGGACCAAAGACACTTGCCCATAGAGGTAACGACTCTGTACAGGTGCCAACTTGACTTCCCCATGTTCGATGAAATGAGTAGACATTTTCAGCAATGGGGTCTTGTTGTCAGTTTGTTGAGAGCAACCTATGGTTTCGACAATAGCCTGGGTCGTTTGGGATTCCCATGGGACCTCTTTGATCAACAACTCAATTAGAATATAACCCAGTGCGGGTACTGGAAGATTGATTCACTTGATGACAAGAGATGGTGACAAGAATGATGTCTCCCTCATTCTTTGGCAATTTCATTTAGATTGCATATATATGGATATTTCTACTGTATTAGGTTTCCATGCTGCTGCTCAAATGGCCCCTAATTTTAGATCCCTCCCTGTACTCTCTCCCTTTCATCCCCACCTCCCACTCCTTACTTGATCCTCATATTCCACCCCCTATCATGCTTCCAGAACTATCTATTCTGTTTGTCTTTCCTAGGGACATCTATCTGTGTTTCCCACCCTGTCCCTTACTCTATACCAAACCTTTGTGGATCTGCAGATTGTAGTTCACTTATCCTTGCTTTAATATCAAATAACCATACATAAGCAAAAATATGCCATATTTGTCCTTCTGGATCTGGGTTACTTTCTTCTGGATTATTATTTTCATTTTTAGTCCTATCTATATACCTGTGAATTCCATGATTAGCTTTCAAATGTCTGAGTGACACCCCATTGTGTAAATGTACCACATTGTCTTTATCCATTCTGCCATTGAGGATTATTATAGTTATTATGAATAGAGCAGTGGTGAGCATGGTTGAGCATTGCTTCATCTCTGTGCCAGGGTGAAGCATCCTTTGGGTATGTCCAAGAGAGGTGTAGCTAGATCTTGAGACAGGTCAGTGCTCTTCTACCTGGGAGACCACCAAACTGATTCCCATAGTTTTTCTTTTTAATTTAAATTAGCTAATACCTATCTGTTCCTTGGTGGATGAGTTTTGAATCATTTGTCTTTCCTGTGATATTTCATGCAGCAAGCTATGCTGCTGGGGTAGACATTGTTCACAATTCTAGTTCAAACATATTAAACCATATTTGAGGTAGGCAATGTCTCAGTGGAAATTAGACCAGTTACCTTCTGATTGAGTTTTTCACAGGCCTGTGATGGGCAGAACACAACTGAGTATAGTTCTCAGTTCCCTTCTTGATGTGATCTCTGGCCCTGCAGTGTTGGGTTGGTGAGATGAGGGGAGGGACCTTACTATAGGTTCCCACTGATCTTCGAAGCAACCTGGAAGTAGCTGCCTCAGTCCCTTGTCCTTTCTGCCCTCAGAAGTGTGTTGAGACCCTGGTTCCACAGGCTCCGGACTTTGTTTCAACACTTCCCTCCAAGAGTGTGCAGGTTTATCGTGGGGAGGGAAGCATGTTAACCATTGTCTGGCAGTACCTCACTTTGCTTCAGTCTTCAGCTCCTAGGAGTCATGACAAATTATATATCTAGTCCTTGGCAACCATCTACCTGTTTTGGAAGCATGGGTGTGTGTAAGGTGAGACACGTCCTCCTCTGCAATCTCCACTGGCCTTGTTGGGTCTCTCCTTCTGACTGATTGCTACTCAACA